ATATCTTATTTACAATAAGAACTGTATATTGTGTATATTGCTGATTTAAGGGAATCAGCTACAGAAGAGCAAAATTTTGATATTCTATTTTGCTATATTGCTCACAACATTTTTAGAGACTTACACTATTTTTCCATGACTCATATATAGCAAAGATTTCTGAAGTATATGGATTTCTATGAGTTTCTGCCAATGTTCTGATGACTTACCAATTAAACACAGAAAACTATATTAGCTATTTATATTGCAACTACTGCTTCAAACATCTCACTTTAAGAACACAATAGAGTGTTGAGATCATCCTGGTACTGAGGTGGCAGAGAAATAAAATGAAACAAAAAATAAAACTACATGGATATGAATATCTTTAAAAGAAGGGAAAATAGATTATACATCACTAGTTATCAGGATTATAAACACTAATTATCAGGACCTAAACAAAAAGGAAGCCCTGCTAGTTCTCTTCCCATAATCCAAAGATTTTGGGGGAGCAGGCTTTGCATCCTAAAAGGAATATGTCACAAGACCAAGACTGGTGATTTTTTTTTCAAAAATCCTTAGTATTGGAGTCTTGTTCTGGGAGATGTAAAAGATGGGAGTTCTTATCCTTTTTTAAATTTTCTTTATAAAACACTAGAACATTTGGGTAGCTCCATTTTGGAGTTTACTTAGTTCATCTCAAAACTCAAGCTTTGTTCACACAAAACTTTATTTAGTGCTTGTGGATTACCTTAGATCAAAATGTACAAAGAATGTCTAATGTCATTAGTATTCATGTAAATATTTGACAATGAACATGGCAAGAACAGGGATGTTTGCTTGCTTTGCTAACTTATCCCTAATGCCTCAAACATTACTTGAAATAATATATGTTTTGCAAAGTTTTGCAAAGACCCTACAAAAGCCAGATTGGTGTTGGAGGTGGATGGCTAATCCTGCTGTAGAAATGCTTTTTCTCTTAGTTGTGGGGGAAGGATTCCTACATTTCCAGGTGTTCTTGAAATACATGTTTCTACTAAAGCAGCATTATTAAAGTTTTAATATCTTTGGAACTTGGAAATTTGATAATTAAACACTAAGCTTAAAATTATTCCTAAATCAATCACTGAGAAATCACATATAGAATAGAATACCTTTACAATTTGTGAACTGATCATACTAAGTCTTCCAACTCTCACTTGACCAGGAAAACAGGGTAACTAAACAGCTGAGATGATGGCTGGTCTTGCTACTTTCACAGTATGTTTAGTGATTTCAAAACTTTACTATCTCTCCCCAAAGGGCGAAAAACAACTTTCTGAGAAACAGAAAGTCTCAACTTACTCTGAACAAGCTGAAAAAGTATTCTAGGATTCAGAACAATGTTCTCAATTTTCTAAGCCAGAATCAGTTCCAAGAAATAGAGAGGAACCCAGAAATATCTACAATGATGATAATATTTCTTATTTATATTCTGGCAGTTCTACATCAATTCCTGTAAACACCTCAGTCTGCTAATGTCTTCACAGCCAAAGTAAAATCATAGCTAAAATTACTTCCAGAAAAAAAGAAAATACTCTTTCCTAAATTTTTATGAAGACTACTTATTTAGCTACATTTTACCAAACCATTCAACCTATCAGCAGCTTTGTGATCTGTACTACAAATCAGAAGTTGTCCTAAAAATTGAACAATTATCCCCAATTCAATAAGTTAATACTGTACATCCTAAATGGTTCACATACATTACTGAAATTTAAATATTAAAAAAAATTTATTATAAGAGGTTAACCAATTAGGATGTATTAAATGCTTATACCATAATCATACTGAAGAATAGATGTCATAGTTCAAATGCAAATGACACTCCCACTTTATATTAAGACTTCATATACAGATTTAATTTGTAAAAATTGTACTCTTTGGCATGAAAGAGACGTCAGTTTTCTAATTTTTAAAAAACAATAGTAATAATTCTGAAAGGAAAAATACAAACCATAGCCCATACTAAATGTAGGGTCACTTGAAATTCAGTTTCTTTAACTTAAAAAAGAAAAAAGAAATTAAAATATGAAAGTTTGTGGCTAGCTGTTTTCATTTTAACAATAGCTTTAAATTTAATTAGGCAAGATTAGTTAATAATACAATTAGTACTTTAAACAATTCTATATTTTATAAAGGATAAGATTATTTAATAAGATATGAATAGTCTTTTTTTTTTAAGCTTTGTGACTGACAACTCTATTTCCCCCTCTGCATTTCATTAGCTAAGATTGACCTAAAGATGACCCTGCTGTCATCAGATCTTCCCGTTTTGTCATCATCTCATTGGGTAGAAAGTAGGAGGGAAATAGAATGGACTCAAGGTACTAATACCCTATAATTAGTCTTCGGTTATTTATCTTGGGTCTTCTCTACAACTAAGAAGCCAAGGAAGACCTTACTGCCAAGCAACACCTGACAGAAACAAGCAAAGGTAATTGTTCTAAACAGCTCAGAGTGATTCTCCACAGTAGTTAGTTGGGTCATCACCGAGTTATTTTTGAATGACATTTTCTTCCTTTTAGCCTTTATTGCTATGTTTAAATGTGTCCAAGCATTACTTCAACATTAATTTCTAACATAAACCCTCGATTTTTATGGTGTTATGATTAAATTAATTTTAACTTTACTTTGGCTCAAGGTTTGATACTGGCTAAATTAGAGAAGACATCATGAATTCTAAATAAGAACATGCTTGAGACAATAAACCTATTGCTACAAACAGAGAGAGTCAACTCAGGAAGATGGACCTCTGATAATAATCCTCATTGATCCACTAATTACCTTTGAATTTTGTTTCTACCCAAAAGTCATAATTTTGTTATAGTATAATTATGTTTTAAAGTTATGTGTTTCATGTGCTCATGGAAGTTGAATAATTCTATAATTCCACAAACTATATCTTCTTTCCAAGCTATGAGGGCAAGTTCAAGTACTTGCTGGTTCAAGTACCTAAAATGTAAAGCATATTATCTCTGATTTCTATTTATGCTAAAAAGGGAGGAACTATTATCATTTTATAGAATGTTCTCTTTTGTATGTGTGGTATTTTATGTGAATTGAGAAGTCATCTATGATTTTCGAGAGAAAGATTATTTTTTAGTCAATAATTTTCAAAGGCAAATAGAATCTGATCCGATTCCTTTTCTCTACCTGGGGCTTTAATTCTGTGACTTTTCTAAGGCTCACTTTGCAGTGACTCAAGTTTATTTAAGTATGGCAATAACAATAGTTGCAGCAAATGTACTTAATATTTACTTCACAAATATAATGTGAACCTAAAAGTTTAGATGTTACATTACTGTCTAAAAGACAATTTATTAAAATTAAGAAGCAAATGTGACACTGTATCCTTTAAAAAATTTTTATTTGTTCTAATTAATTATACATGAATACAGAATGCATTTTTACATATCATACATAAATGGAGTGTAACTTCTCGTTTTTTTGTTTGTCCACGATGTAGAATTATACCAGTCCTGTAATCATATACACACATAGGGTAATAAGGTCTGATTCATTCCACTGTCCTTCCCACCCTCATACTCCCTTCCCTCCCTTCCCTCTCCTGTCTCTAATCCTAATTACCTCTATTCTTTCCTAGCTCTCCCCCCTTATTGTGAATAAGCATCAGCATATCATAAAAAAAAAAAAAATACAGGCCCTTGGTTCTTTGGGATTGGCTTATTTCACTTAGCATGATATTCTCCCCCTCTACCCATTTGCCAGTTAATGTCATAATTTCATTCTTCTTTAAGGCTGAGTAATATTCAGTTATTTATATATATATATATCACATTTTCTTTACCCATTTATCTGTTGAAGGGCACCCAGGTTGGTTCCATAGTTTTGCTATTGTGAAATGAGCTGCTGTAAACATTGATGTGGATGCATCACTATAGTATGCTGCTTTTAAGTCCTTTGAGTATAACTGGATCCTCTTTTATTTAAAATAAATAAACAAATAAGCTATTTTATTTCCTTAAACATTTCAGTCAGTCACTGAAGTTGTCCTATCTATACTTATTAAAACAGTGAAGTTAATCATATTACTTAGGTTTACTAGAGAAGTAGATTTAGATTATGATGAGTGCATTTTCACATCTTCCCACTCCTCTTCCATCCTATGTACTTTATGTACATTGATCATAGATCACCAAATTTTAGAAATCACTCAGATCAAACTCTTATGTTACAGGTAAGTAATGCAAAGTCTGGGAAAGGGAAATGAATTGACTGTGGTTACACAAGTAAGGATGAGACCTAGACTAGAATTCAGTCATCCAAAGGAGTGTATAGTCTTATTAGTGTCTAGTCCAAAAACAAATGTTTTCCGTTGTTTACTAAGTAGTGCCTCACGCTTTAACCAGCGTTTAAGATCTCTACTTTTTCTGCTCTAAACTTTCTTCCCAACTTTGTCTTTCCCTTATCCTATAACACTTCAATCAAAATGTCCATGGATATTTTCAAGGATTTCTCCTTTACCTGAAGTGTGTTCTTCCCCATTAAACTCCCCATAGGCAAGTTTCATCTATATGTCATCTACACAAAGACTTTGCTGCTTCTCTCAACTGAAACTTTCTATCAGGAGAAACTGTCTTTGTGGCATTTTATGTGTCAGCTCTCATCCCTAAAGAGAATGTTACTTTTTAGCAACATTTATATCAGTTTCACCTTGATAATCTCAACATTCTGCATAGGACTTCATTCTTATTAGGTTATCAGAATATACTAAATGAACAGATGACTGAACTTGTAATAATGCTTTTATTAATATTATCAAAATTAAATTCAAAATTTTTTCCTCTAAGTTTAGAGTTTCTAATACTCTTAATAAAATAGAATTTCCACTTTGGCTAAATCTACCTACAAAATCAGGCTCTTTTTTACTTAAAGCAAAGCAAAGCAAACATTATATCAAATCATTTCTAAATTGCTAGTAATAGATTCTTTTAATATTTTATTTTTTAGGTGCAATAATGAAAGGTTTTCTTCTGATTGTGAATGTTGTGGTACTAACCCTACCTCTCTTGGTGAGTTAATTTCATTTAACCAAGAATATTTTATTTGAGGGTTAAATTTCTAAATACACTTATGCCCCATAGAATAAAATATCTCCATGCTAGATATTTTAATATTTATTTCTATTATAAAAGTAACGTTCTAGATATCCATTTAGTTACCATAGTTTAAAAATCCCACTTAATCATGTATAAAAAAGGCTTTCAAATTTTTATGCTATAAAAATATATATTCTGGGGAAAATAATACTGAAAATATTTTAAAATTATAAAATGCTCTAAAGACAATTTATAAAGAACAAATACAGAAATAGAGTCATAAATCTTCAATTGTTCTAATTAAATTCCTACTTCTCCCAGACTACATTCTCCTTAGGTACTAAATCCTTAAATATCAGAGGTTTGGCTAAGCTTCTTCACTAAGACCTTGACACTCTGTCTCTAGCATTCAAATCATTATCTTATCTTGAGTTATACTCCACTCATGATGTCAACTAGCAGGCTCCTTCCCAAGGACGCAGGACCATAAACAGTTCTAAGGTTGGCCAATGCCATTTGAACTGCATGATATGTTTAACAGTAGGCCAAAAAAAAAAAGGTTCTGCTTCTCTTTTGATATTTTAAAATTGTTTTTATTGTTGCTTTGGCTATTGCTCTGTTTTATTTTTCATGTTCATTAAGGAATTTCAAACACTATATTTGCCAACAGCAAGAACAAGGAAGGAAGCATAGCTAATAGTATAGCTGCTCAGTTAAGATTGTAAAAATTTTGGAGTTCTTCCTTCATTTATTACTAAATTTAGGCTTGCTTTAAGTTAAGCTCTTTTAAATAAATTTGTTATGTAAATTCTTTTTTTTTTCAATACTAAAGAATGAACCCAGAGGCACTTAAATACTGAGCAGATTCTCAGCTCTTTTTATTTTTATGTTTTTATTGTTTATTTTTTGGCACCAGGGATTGAACTCAGGGGCCCACAGCCACTGAGTCACATCCTCATCCCTATTTTGTTTTGTTTTTGTTTTTTCTTAAGAGACAGGGTCTCACTGAGTTGCTTAGCCCATCGCTATTGCTGAGGCTGGCTTGCAACCCTCCTGTCTCAGCCTCCCAAACCGCTGGGATTACAGGCATGCACCACTGCACCTGGCTTTATTTTTTCATTTCTAGGCAGGGCCTTACTAAGTTGCTTAAGGCCTGGCTTAGTTGCTGAGTTTGGCCTTGACCTTACAATCCTCCAGTCTCAGCTTCCCAAATTGCAGGTGTGCACCACCATGACCAGCTGTTATATAAATTCTTTTAGTTGTGTGTGGGGAGTGTTCCAGGGATTGAACTCATGGGCACTTGACCACTGAGTCACATCCCCAACCCTCTTTTGTATTTTATTTAGAGATAGGGTTTCACTGAGTTACTTAGCACCTCACTTTTGCTGAGGCTGTCTCTGAACTCTCAATCCTCCTGCCTCAGCCTCCAGTGCCACTGAGATTACAGGCATGTGCCATGGCCAGGCTCCGTTAGGCAAATTCCTGGAGTCAAAACTACTCTTAAAATTTTTGAATTACTGTGACTTCCACATTTTTTATTATTCCTTTAAATTATGTTTTATAGTTACTTGCATATTAAGAATTTAGGTAATAGGAGTATTCTCCTATTATATAACTCCTTTGAATAATAGGAGTTCCAATCATAAAATGAGCCACAATTAACTGCTCTTCACAGCTTCTCAAGCTATTAGCGCCTACATTGTGTAAACTGTCCTTTGCATTTCAGAAAGGCTTCAAGCCCCAGGCGCATGCGTAAATAATTCAAAAGGAAAATTAAACTTTGTAGATTTTGCCATTCGATTCTAAGAGTAGTCAAAATTACACAAATTAAAACAGCAATATGATACCATCATTTATGTGCTAAATTAACCCTTCCTCAAAAATAAAAATACTGACATCATACACATTGTGTCTTCAATAAAAAATATTTTTAAACTAAAACAGAGAATAAGAACAAATAATAATTTTAAAAACTGCATTTTTTTTTTTTTTCAATTTCTCATTATTTATTTTTCTGCAACTCCTCAGGCTGCAGAGGTACAAGACCAGGAAAAATCAGCAGTAAGTTTATCTTAATTATTTCTGTTAGACACATGAATTCCACAATATATTATTCTTCAAAGTTCAATATTAAAATGCTGTCTAAAAACTAAATAAGCATTTGATCTCCACAAATAATCTAATGATCTTTAAAAAAAAAAAAAACCATATCACTGCTCTTCAGCAAAAGATAATACGAATCCACCTCAGACTTGTTTATCTGAAACTCTTGGTTCCATTACATAGCCCAAGGCATGTATTTTTGTCTTTCTTGTGTATGCAGCCACAAGAGAAAACACTCCCAACATTTCACATTGAGAGGACATAGAAACAAAGTAAAACTTAATATCTCTCCTGTCTACATTTTAAGACTTGGGGAAAGATCCCTCTGTTACCTGCCCTTGAATACTTATATACTTGTATTTGTTTTCCTTTTGTTTCCCAAATATATTTGAATTAATATATTAAAATTTGTTTCCTTTTATGAGAAATGTTTGCTTTGCTGTATTGTTTTTCTATTCATATAGAAATACAAATTTTTATGTATGCATATAATTTAATGTTCAATTAAAAATTGAAAATTCCCTAGCTCATCTTTTGTGGAGAAAATTAAACTTAAAGAAAAAAAGAATCCTAAGTTTAAATCCAGAAATCCTCCCACATTTTACTATTTTGCTATAATTAGTTTAGAGAAAATAAAGCTTACCATCTCTCAGGCTAAGCTCTAGATAAATAAAATTTGAGCAATTACAAATATGTGGTACAAATATGTACATTAGTGTATATGTGTGTTATCTGTGTTTGTGCATGATATGTCAAAGTTCCCTGTGAGAATTTTCAATGTGTTGTACTCATAATATCCAGTATTTACTGAGTAATTTCCATATGTATCAAATCTGGGGCAATGTGGTTTGTATTGAGAATTATCTCATCTACTTTGTTTGAAACAAGTATTACTTTTAAATTATTGAAAATAAGATTTTATAATATATAAAATATTGAATTAAAAGGAAGGTGTATATATCCATATCATGTAAAATAATATGATGTTGAGTTCCATACTTCAAATGTTTTATCAATATCGAATGATATTATTTCAAAAAATGCTGATTTAAGATAGCTCTACATTCTTCTATAATCATACTTTTCTACATATTTTATTCTTTTTTCAGTGCAACAAAAAAATTGAAAGGTTGTTTGATGAGAAGATAGTCTCATATGTCCCAATTCATTATGTGTTGAATAGGAATCCTCATTTTGAACCTAATTACCATCAACGTACACCAGTTGCATCAATTAATAATCCATATATGATTCATCCATACTCTACAAAAGCATTTGTACATATGTCACATGCCCAAATTCCCCAATGGCATCTCCTGTCAACTATCCCCCATCCTACCATGGTACAACCTCACCCATATCTACACCCATCATTTATGGCAATTCCCCCAAAGAAAATTCAGGATAAAACCACTATCACTGCCAATGATGTTAAAAATACCGTTGAGCCTACACCAGTTCCTACTGATGAACCAGCAGTGAGCACCACAGTCATTCCTGAAGCTTTCTCAGAGTTTGTCAACACCCCTGAAACTACTACAGTCCCAGTGACTTCACCAGTTGTATAAAAGAAACAAAATAGAAGACAATATAGGTAAGTGAACAAAATATAAAATGAACAATCCAAACAAGAAGCATGGAACTATCAATTGTAAAATCTAAAATTATGAGAATGGATAAATTAAGTATGTTATGGGAGCAGGCAAAATAGGATAAATGTAATTTTATTTGGAGGACCTATAGCACTATAGCACATCAATTAATAGATTCTGTTCCAACAAAAAATAATCACATTTTATAAAATTAAGAATTTGGGAATTTTATTCTCAAATGCTTTTTCTGCCAAATGGAACACTCTTAGAATGTATTATTTTTATTTCATCACTATTCACAGACAGCTATGACAGTGAGTAAAATACTATATATACTCTGATTTTTTTATCTCAAAAATGAATTTTCTCAGATAAAGTTATTTAGAATATGAGTTTTAATTTTTTAATTCCATAACAATGCTCTTGTGTATGAATAGAGTGAAAGGAAATTATATATTTCCCATGCGCTCCTTTATTTCAGATATCATTCCAGGAAGGTTCCATGAAATTAGGAATTACAAATTTCTTCTAAGACAAAATAGGGAATAATTACAATTCTTAGCTTCAAAAACACATAGCTACGAAAAGAATACTTTCATGATATCAAATGTAATATAAAAGGTTACTGCTTATTATTTGGATTGATGAATAAAAATAGAGTCTAAAATAGTTGACAACTTTTAGGAAGTTATATTAATGAAATAGAAAATTTTATCCAAAGAATGAAATAATTTGGAAATAATGGTATAAAATTTTAGAGATTTGCAACAAAGTTTTTCAGTCCATTAAACTGTTTACATATTTTATACCACACAATGGTCTGTGGTCTGATGGGACTAGCATAAGCCAGAAAAGGCTACTTCTTCCGTCTTCTTGCTTAATAGTCTTAGGCTGGTCATTATACTCTGAGCTTTCATTTTTCTCACAAATTTGGTTGCTATAAGGCTTCAGTGAATATGTATATGTGGGAAATTTTTAAAAACTGATGAATTTGAAAAATATATCAGAAAAGCAAAATTAATAAATACTAAAATCTATCTTTAACCAAACCCAAAGTTATTACTATATAAGAAATTTTCATAATAATGTCAGTTGAGTCCTATCACATCCATTCAGTGCCTATTTTATTACTATTTCAAATTTAGGAATGAAGAAAGAATAGGCCTAAGGGAGTTAAGTGAGTTATCACAGGTAGAAAGTAAAAAATGGGAGGCAAAGAAAACATGTTTAATTTCAGATAGTGGAGCTTAATTACCATGCCATCTATTTGCATATGGTCTACTTTGCAAAAAAATCACAGAAAACACACTGTGATATCCTTAGACTACTATATATACAAATTCCATTATTATTTAATAGCCTATCTGTTAAGAAAATGATAATAAACTGGATAAATATTTGTCTTTAGAAAGACAAAATGAGGAAATTAACAAAAACAACATGAAAATAACTTAATATTTAGTTAAATATTTTATTCATCAAACATTATTATTACATAATTAATGTTTTTAATGGAATAATCTTTATTCAATAGTACGTTTCTTCAAAACTCGGGAATCTAGATTCCTGAATTAAAACGACAGTCTACCACTTATAAAGAATCATGTAAAGGACAGTTATCTATGTAGATACTAAAGTAAGTAAAGTCCTATTGCCAATTTTAAATATTTAAATTGAAACATTTAATTTGATAAACACTGATACAGTCACAAAAGAAAAATAATGGAAGTTAAATAAAAGTTTACATATGAGAACTGTTAACATACTTATGTGAACTAATTTTAAACCATCCTTTTTGTAGGTCTTGCTGAAACTGAATGACTACTTCAAACTCCTCTTTAGCCATTTGTTTTCCTTCATTCAAGATAAAATGTGATTTAGATCCTTTTTCTTCTCCCCTTACTTTTTAACATTCATGCCATGCTTAATTTTTTTCGATTCTTGCACAATAAAGTCAATTGAATGCAATTGCATGTTTTTACTTTAGAGGAGTTTGTGGAGATGCTTCAGGGATCTTTGAAACCTTGACATTCCAAGGCAAATTCAGTGTGCATTTGAGTACCCAGTTTACCCATGGGCAGAGATCACAGTTTCATCAAGTTCTTAACGTGGTCCATGATCTAATACTGATTAAGAACTGTTCCTCTAGAATGGCACTGAACATTTAAACTAACTGGTACCAGAAAAGAACTAAGCCATAGTATTCCAATCTAGAGAGGACCACAAATTGACTTTTAGGAACCTTACATTTAAGTGCCCAAATATAAGTCTAGAGCATTCATTCTAAGAGCAAATTTTGGACAAAGGCAAATTACAGATGAACACAACTATGAATACATCACAAAATTCCAGGAGTTGATGAAAACTGTAAACATTCAGGATTAGTTTCCTCAAGACTGGAGGTCACAGTTTCACATGTGTCCAAACACAGTTCTTGTCCAAATACACACAGACCACCACTACCACCATACAAGGAAGCTTCTCAATTAGAGGTTCTTACGTCTGGGGGGAAAAAAAAGATGAATATTCAAAGTCTAAAGATATGACATGTTTTTTTCCCTTAAACAAATGCTGCAAGGAAAATTAGCAGGTCTATATTTAACACATCATTCCAGGAAAAATATAAAACACTCAGCTCTTACAAAGTGCTTATATGTCACCCATCTAATCTGTTACTATAACCTTGAATAGATGTGCTATGATTAGAAGTAATTTATGGTCTTTTTGATTTTATCTTTTAATTTGTTATATATATATATATATATATATATATATATATATATATATATATGACAGTAGAATGTATTTTGGCATATTGTACACATATGGAGTTCAGCTTATTCTAATTCTTGTGGTTGTGCACAATACCCTGGTAATGTATTCAAATAGAAGGATAGGAAAGTTATGTCTGATTAAGTGGTTAATATCCAAAATATATAAAGAACAATACTCAATAGCAGAAAAACAACCTGATTTAAAAAAAATATAGGCAAAGGGCGTAAAAGATATTTCTCCAATGAAGACATAAAAGTAGTGGACAAGTATTTGAAAAGATGATTAATATCACTAACCATCAGGGCGTTGAAAATCAAAACCATAATTGGATATCACCTTGCACACATTAGAACAGCTATTGTCAAAAAGACAAGTGATAAAAAGTACTAGCAAGGATATGGCAAAATGAAAACCCTGCACACTGTTGGTTGATGCAATCATTGTGGGAAAAAAAAGTATGGAGATTCCTAAAACATATAAAATATAGCTGGGTACAGTTGGCACACACCTGTAATCGCAGAATCTCAAGGAGGCTGAAACTGCAAGATCACAAGTAGAGGCCAGCCTCAACAATTTAGGGAGACCTTCAGCAACTTAGGGAGACCCTCTCAAAATAGAAAGGTAGAAAGGGCTAGGGATGTAGTTCAGTAGTAAAGCAGCCCCAGATTCAATCCCTGGCACCAGAAAAGAGAGGAGAAGAAGAAGGAAGAAGGAAGAAGGAAGAAGAAGAAGAGAAAAGAAAAGACAAGGGAGAGAGTGGGAGGGAAGAAAGAAGTAAAAATAGAACTCTCATACTCCCCGAAAAGCCCTCTTGTGGGCATATGCCCAAGGGAATGAAAGGAACACTGTAAAGATAGCTGTAGCAGTATTATTCACAATAGTCACAACATGCAAACAACCTAAGTGTCCATCAAGGGATGAACTAATAAAGAGACTGTATGGGGGCGGCGGGAGAAAGCTGCTATCTTTACATGTAAACAAAATACACTGATGAGTTGCTTATTTTGGACATGAATAAATTACTTGAAACACAAGTGTCCAAACAAGTGGAGGTAATTTGTGATGCATGAGAAATTAAATCTCTAGGATAAAAAATAAATCTGATAGAAGATTCATATGTAGTCATTCACTCATCAGTTACTTGCCCAGGATTCACTCACTATGTGAAGTCAGCATGTTTGCTCCCCACTTTCAGGACCTCAAAGTCCAGGAAATTTTTAACAACCACTTGATTACTCAGTCCTGAAAAATACACATATTGGAAAATCCTAAGGTACTACAGAATTCAGCATTAAGTTATATAGCAAGTATTTATGTAAAACTTTAAGATGTATAAAATGCTTTCACTTGTCAACTTCTTCATCTTCATCAATTATCTCTTAAAGTAATTTACTATTGATCTTCATCTTGTATATGTGGAAACAAGAATGGTAAAAATATGTATATATGGCATTTCAAGTATCTACAGTCTGTTTCTACCCCATCTTTGAGGTTATATTTACTGATACTTCTACCCCATACTCTATACTCCAGTAGTAACTGCGTTTGCCAAGTACAGTGGGCAGAGGAAATTTTTGGAGTCATAAAATCTGTGTGATTTTTGAACCTAGGCTATTTATTACTATCTATCAACAATGTGACTTTTGGCAAAATTAGCTGACATCATCCCTTAACCTCTATGATCCCATCTGTAACAGTGAGATAACAATGTGTACCAACGTTTGTGGGGAAGACTCAATGAAATAATGTATGCATAAGCCATATTATGGGTACATTTCGCTGTTATCCTATTTTTCCTAATATAATATATTGACATTCATATTTTCTCCATGTTTTAAATGCTACAGCACAGTTCTGTCTTCTTATCTATAAGTCTCACATAGCACTAATCAATCTCTTACATATGAAAATTGCTTAAAAGTGTGTTGAGTTTTAAATAAAATGACAGCTTAACAATTCATTATCTGAATTTTGTTAACAACGTACTGAAGAACAACAGGTAAGGTAACCAATGAAATGTTCATGTGTACATTTATTTATTTTTATTTGTTTATTTGTTCTTTTTAGTTATACATGACAGTAGAATGTATTTTGCCATACCATACATATATGGAGTATAACTTCTCACTCTGTGGTTGTACATGAAGTATAGTTACACTGGTTGAGTATTCATATATGAACATAGGAAAGTTACATCTGAT